TACAGTACGGTACGGTACGGTACGGTCCGGTACGGTACGGTATGTTATGGTACGGTACAGTACAATACAATACAATACAACACAAAATGACTATACTCCATATCCTGTAAGATACAGCACAATGAGACACCACAACACAGTGCTGTACAATACAACACAACACAATACAATACAACCCCATCCATCCATACACCCTTCCACCCATGCATGGGGCAGTTCTCTACATTAGGGCCCCGTTTTGGGTCCCCAATATATGTGACAAGGGCAGGGATCCCTCTAAGAGCTCGAGGCACTCATCCACCTAGCAAGACAGTCTGACTCTGACTAACACACGGGTAGTTCTCTGAAATAGGGTCCCTATCAGAATTCTTTTTTATAAGGGTGTCGTACTGTATTGGGGACCCAAAAACGGACCCTAATTTAGAGAGCTACAAGTACCTACATGCCGGAGTTGCTTCCGTTCGTATGTATGTTTACGTGTTTCTGCTCCTGAAGGCCATAGGCTTTTCACCCAATCACACTCCAAGTTCGGGGCTTAGTGCTTTGTGGGGCTTGGGGGGTTGACGGTTTTGGGATCTTGGTGGCGTTGCAGGTTTTGGGTCTGGGCCCAGAAAGCGAATTGCTGCCCAGTCGCCGCGACCGCTGGCCGCAAGACGCCTGTCGGCGCCAGGACGGTGAAAGCCTCGGAAAGGACGCACACCACGGGCCTTCATAGTTAAAAGAGGATTCCTTCTGGGTTCTCTAGCAGTTCTACAAGGGGCCTAAAGGCCTAAATGGCTTTGGGCGGGAGCGGGGCCGGGGTTTAGGGTGTAGGGTTTAGGGTTTAGGGCTTAGGGTTCAGGGCTTGGGGTTTAGGGTTTAGGGCTTAGGGTTTAGGGCTTGGGGTAACTATCTTGATAACAGCTCGTGGCTCTAGGATTCGGGGATTTATGGGGATTGGTGCTGCGGGATTTTGAAAGCGAAGACACCTCCATCGCTGCGCCTCTTGAAATGTGCCGGGCTGTTCTGGAGGACTCTAAACCCTATGCCCTGAACTTGCCCTGAACCCTAGATTCTACTGCGGGGTTAGGGAGTTTCCGAAAAACCGAGGGACAAAAAAAAAAAACTAAGTAGCAGGATCCTTAGGGACCCCGAACAAAGGAGCCTGATGTGGGTCTTTCCTAGCGAGAGCCCTCGAGATGGATAGTATCTTCATCACACAAACCCACATTCGAGACATCGAATCTAACTTGTCATGCCCAGCCGATGCGTGGCGTACATCTATCATGCATGACTGTTCCGAGCCGGAATAACACCAAAAAACTGTGTAGAACGCAGAGAGAAAGAGAGAAGGACCTGTATGTGTGTGTATATATATATATGTATATAGAGAGAGAGAGAGGGAGAAGGACCTGTATGTGTATGTATGTATATATATATATATATTTCTCTCTCTCTCTCTCTCTCTTCTTTGTCTATTTACCTCCTGATTTGTTAGCCAGTCAGTCAGTCAGTCCGTCCGCCCGTCAGTCAGTCAGCCAGTCAGTCAGCCAGTCAGTCAGTCAGTCAGTCAGTCAGCCAGGGAGGGTGAGAGGAGGTTAGTTATGGTTATGATTGTGATTATGTTTGTGGCTATGGTTCTGGCTGTGGCAATTCTTATTTCTATGGCTATAAATAAGATATACTGGTACGCATGTTCACACTTATGCGTCTACCTACATGTATACTTGTATGTATTAACCTGCTGGTTTATGTACTACTTCATCGAACTATTCATACACACACATGAATACACTTCTGCACACATATGCACACAGTCGTAGATATGCCGAAAATGCTAAATCAGTGAATGTCATGGCGACGGCTAGCACGACCGTCCCAATTATAAATGGAAGAATACAAACATGAACAGTGATAACACAGGAAATCAGCTGAAACTTTCGGGCGAAGGGCGCAAGTGCTGGCCATGAGGACGGCGGCTGCCTTATGAGGAATTGACCGCAGTCATGCGGTGTTTGGGGCTTAGGGTCTTAGCTGCTCGGACTCGGTCCCGGTTATGAGGGGCTTACAGCCCTCGGATGCCCAGGCGGGCGTGAGGGACTTTCAGACTTCTATCCCTAAACCCTAAACCCCCAAACCCCAAACGGACATCTCTAAAGCCTCGACAAGGACGGAGGGGGTACCATGAGTG